GTGTGTCTGTGTGTCTGTGTGTCTGTGTGTCTGTGTGTCTGTGTGTCTGTGTGTCTGTGTGTGTCTGTCTGTCTGTCTGTCTGTCTGTCTGTCTGTCTGTCTGTCCGTCCGTCTGTCTGTCTGTCTGTCTCTCTGACTGTCTGTCTGTCTCTCTGTCTGTCTTCTTCCACTTGTCTACGTCACGCTGTCTCTAGAAGGGCACTGAGCTTGAAAGCAAGACTGCAAGTACCGTATACGCAGCAACGTTGGAAGAGACAGCCCGAAAAAGTTGTACTGTCCCCCCATGCATGGTCAGGGACATGAGTTGCGAGGTACGTCGTATCCCCCGACTGTTTGGAGCACGGAAACGAAAAACTGAAAACCCAGCACGAACACCTTGTCAGGGTGTACGTCGTTCCCCCAGTCACATCTTTGTAATTGTCTGTCTCTTTCTTTCGCCAGGGCTAGGGGTAAGAGGAGCAAGCCCCTCTGTCTCTCTGTCTCTTTCTTTCTTTCTTTCGCCAGGGTTAGGGGCAAGGAGGTTTCCCCCTCTGTCTCTCTCTCTCTCTCTCTCTCTGTCTCTTTGTCTGTCTGTCTGTCACTATGTCTGTCTCTCTGTCTGTCTTTCTTTCGCCAGGGATAGGGGGAAGGGTTGTGCCCTTCACTGCGCACGCGCGTGCGCCCCCGACAGTTGCGGGTGCTAAGCTATTCTGCCGCACTTCAACACAAGCTTGGATCCGAAACAAAGCAAGCAATGTAAACCGCAAATAAAGGAAATATGATCATTGCGTTCGTTGTGCAATGCATTGCAGTGCAAGCAGAGACTATCAAAGGTAGCTCGCCCCACAAAGTACCGGCCAGGAAATTAGTAGTGCACAAAACTATAGTACATGGCCCCAGCGAGGGGACATGCAGGCCGGTACATTAAGCATGGTCACTGCCGCTGACGTTGGGAAGAGAAAGGCGCGAGAAGCAAACGACAGAAAGAAAGCTTCCCACTCAGCAAAGCGACCTAGGTCGAGGTTTCCCCCCTCATAGCAAAATCTGTCCGGGGTTTCCCCCTGGAAAAGTAGAACTTAGAGCCCCTCGAAGTTGCTCACTGTTCCTCGTTAACGCTTTTTGTTCCACCTCCGCTCTGTAGGCTCACCTCTTGTCTTCGTCCGTGGCATACTCGTCCAAGCCATATATAAGGTGGGCTCTCCGTGGTCGTCGCTGTCTTGTAGCTGGTGAAGTTGAGCCCGCTGCCGGTCAGTAAGGGCAGGAGGTGGCCCTATGGGCAAAGCGGGAGCAGGGGCACTGCTCCCCTGTGCCTCATCGCCCCAGTCTTCATGGTCTGCTGCAGTTCTCGTGGTCATGGTCATTTGGGCTGTCTTCCTTCCTTTCTTCTGCCGGGTTCAGGTCCGCTAGGCGAACCCGCGCCGAGGCGCCCCCCCCCCCTCCCTCAATATCAAGCGTTTGTGGGGAAGAGGCTTTGGGGTGGTTCAGACGGTTTTCGTCGTCTTCATTCTGTTTCTCTGTCTGTCTGTCTGTGGCTGTCTCTGTGTGTGTGTGTGTGTCTCTGTGTGTCTGTGTCTGTGTCTGTGTGTGTGTTTGTTTACATACAAATGGGGATATCTTATGTGCACATGCACTGTATAACAATACATACATACCCGCATGCATACACGCGTTGCATACAATGCACACAAACAGACATGCATACCTACAACTCCATATCTACATACAGCCTTATATGCATGCATACATACATACAGATATGCAGACACACATGTATGCACATGTACATCTACATTGACGTACACAATTACGTACATGTACATGCGTGCGCCTGTCATTTCGTTGTAAATTATGTCTACAATACTCGCAATGCATGCGAATGATTATGCATGTGCGTGACAGACTTGATGCAACTACCTAGACTACACAAAGGGGTTCAGTTGTATTTTCCAGTTGCCGGCGTGTCTCTGTCACTGCGCAGACTGCGCGTAGTGTTCCATTGCTTGCACATACACACACACACACACATCAACAACAAAAACAACATATCAGTAGACATCAGTAGGAACCGCACGTTTGCTCATATACGCTGTATACATGCTCGAGGATGTGCTGGTTGTTATAGGTTTCTTGCTTTTCTAAGAACAAGTACTTGTCCGCTGTTGAGCGCATGGCGCCACTGGCTAGCGGAGGAATCTGTACCGAGCACCATTGCCTCGAGTTCGCTCCCGCAGCAGGCGTCAAAACTCCCAGCACTTCCACACCTGTTCTCGCGAGTCAGAACTTCTGCTTACGAGCCTCATGATAGTCAAGCCCCATCTCTTCGTCGTCCAGCTTGAAACCACGAAAACATACGCTTCATTTTCATTCAGACTGTTGCAAGCGGGCGGCCACTCCGGTGGTAGCCGAGGAGTCAGCAGAAATCCAGAAAAGAAGGCCTCAGCTGCCGGCAACGATGATTGAGTTTCTGTACGAAAATGCCTGTGCCGTATTGGACAGCACTGTGCTGTAATTCTCATGGTATGCCTAGGACCCATCCCCATTGTGAGCTGCAGTCGTTTCATGATGGAGAGTGTATGCTGTGCAAACTCTCAGCTTTAAGGGTGTATCGCCTCATGCACCTAAACCCTAAACTGCCAATATATGGGAATTGCTTTCCGTGCCAAGCTTCGACCTGCTTCACCCATCTGACGGGAGGAATCCAGATCACGCCATGCTGCAAGAAGCCCAGAGCCTTCATGCAGTAGGCATGTGCATGATGTAATAATACTGGCATATGCAGGTCGTGGTACGAATTTGTGAGACCGGCGCATATGTAAAATAAGGCAGAATTGACCGAATCCGTTTCTGAAACCTGCACAGATCGCTCAGCCAACCTGCAAGAAACTTAGCTCTGCAATGTACCGAAGCCTGGACAGTTCAGAAACGCTGCAACAAGCTCTGGCTCGAATAAGTACAGCAAAATGTACAGTAGTACGTTACCGGGCAACAGCACATAATTGCACTTGATGTAGCTTTATTCGCAATGCAGTAACATCTAGCAGACTACATGCGGTAGCAATCACACCAGGACTTCTGCAGCTGGTTTGCGGCTGTCAAATATCAGGCTCTGCAGGGATGCGTTGAAGGCCTCGGCACACAGCCGGCATGAGCATGCATGCTCATGCAGTTTTGCTTCCTGTCGTCCTCCCACCTGTGGCTGGCGGTTGGTGAGCTGCAACGTGCAGCAAGCGACCTTCTGCCAATTCCGTCGAGACACGTCGGTGTCCGGAATTTTCGCCAGAATATGCACCACCTGAGTGGTTTGACCCGGCTGTTCGAACAGCGTCGCTCGGCCTTCGGAGTCTTAGGCAAGTCACGTCCTCCTCGCGAGAAGCCTGCCACAAGAATACCGTGCATTGACAAACACACGAATGCAATGGCATGCAAATACAATTCAACATTCAAAGCAATGCATGCTTCCAACAGGCCTCCATTTCCCGCACGTCGAGGTCTCGCAGCTTTGCACCGGTACGTACAAGACCTTCCTGCAAGGCCGAGTCATGAGTCATGAGCCCAAGCTTGGCGGCGAAGCGCTTTCTGCCCATGCTGCATGCAACAAGTATTTCTGGCAGTCGAAGTTGCGGTCCTTGTCGCGCAGCTTCAGATGCGTTCGAATCCCTAACTTGCTGGCCTCCCGACAGAGCTCGCAAACACTCCAAGCTAAATAGCTTTCTTACACCACTGATACCCTTGCTGTCCACAAGTCGCTACTGGTACCAACCGAAACGAAAGCATCATACAACGACACAACTCCGGAACTGCCGCGGCAAAAGATCCTTTGCCTGAGCCATCTCTGCCTGCAGCGGGCCGGCAGAGGTTTCGGGCTTCAGAAAGCATTGCCGCCACTCCACGTGCTGAAACTGACACGATCTCGAAAGAACATAAGTAGGCTGAGCTTCCATACACCACGCCCTGCCGAACACTCCGAACTCGGCGTCCACCGCCACCACTTGACAGAAGTTTGGGTCCTGACGACGTGCGGCAAATGCTTAACATGACTGTCCTGCTAGCTTAGGAGCCCAGCACTTTTTTGGGTGCTGTCTGGCACCTACGAATAGCGTACGACGTTGATCGGCATTGACAAGCTTGTGTTCCGACTTGCGGTCAAGGTGCTCTGGCCGCCAAGAAGGCCATCATTTCATCAAACTTGTTCATCTCCTGAGCGTTCAGTCTTGAATAGTCTTGCCGCTACCGCTGCCCAAGACTTTCCTGGCGAACCCGTCACATCCGGTGTGCCTGCTGACATCATTTAAAGCCGGTTGAGAGAGCCCCCGCTTGCTTGGGTCGCAGTCAAGACTCGCATTCGTCACCTTCGTAATACCTGGGTCCAGCTTCTGTGCTACAATCTGCAGAAGTGCACACCGGAAAAAGCGAGCAAACGAGCAACCTCGAAAGACAGGAACCAACGACAGAACAGGGCCGTGAACACTAGACTCACTAGATCAGCAACCGAAGACAAACAGGAAATTGAAAAAGGAGTCCATGAAAAAATCGCTTGAGAACGCAAGCACACCACGCACTGCACATCATTGCACATCTGAAGGCCAGCGCTGTTTTCGCCGCTTGCAGGGTTGATCGCATGGTCTGAGGCGCTGAGGTGTTGACAAACCTCCATACGACCCCTCAGAGTCCGATTGTGAATCGGCTTCTGGCCAAGCCAGAATGCGATGCAAGTAAACAAGCGTACGACCCATAGCAGCAATGCGGCACCTATCTCTGGTTCTCTTTACCAGTGCGATACATTCCATCCAAATCAACAACGCTTGACGAATGACTCTCGCGGTTCTTTTGCCCGCAGATTTTGAAAGCCAGAGCCCCAAAGAGCGAAAATCATTGCACCTGAGCACCAGTGGTGGCAGATTCACCACTCGCCTCGGAACGACTCGGGAATGGAATCGCGGCCCTGTGAGTAAGGTGTCAGAACAGCGTTTGTGCAGGCGTGGCTCGCCAGTCATGAAAATCGGCAGTTGCGCTTCCTGTGCTTTGCGAGAACAGTAAGCGATCGGTGACTCCGGGAGGGCAAAAGCTGAGCCGAGAGTCCTCCAAGGGAGTGACCACAGTCACCACCTCGCTACCCCTGGAGCCGCCAGGCATCGGTGCGCCCGCGTCCTGGTCCATTGACCGCTATCACGCGCGGTTGCGCGCGCATGCGTCCGCCACGGCCAGTCCTCGAAGGCAAGCCGGTACACATCGTCGTAGTGATCGACGAAGTGTGCTGTCAGCCCTGGCCCACACTGCGTACGAGGTGGGCGTACGATCGGATGTTGGCATGATGAAAACGAGACTCGTAGAGACTCACAGACATCCTGCCTGCTCGAAGGTACGGCTTCAGCTCTAGGTAGTCTGCCTGACCAGAATATGGAGTGAGGCGTGAGGCAAATACAATCCGGCACTACTCTCAAAATACTGTATCATGCTGCAATATGTGGACTCTGCACAACAGAGCACCTGATTCGACATGGGGAAGACAAGCATGTCCACATTCTCTCTTCTGGCGGCCAGGGTCTTCCTCAGTCGCACGTCTGCGTTCCCGGAGAACAACATCCCCAGCAATGGAGAGCCGGTTGGGTGCACGGGTTGCCCGGCTGGCTATATGCTTCCGTGATGACCGCATGAGGGAGTGACACGACTGCCAGCAGCAATCAGCAGCAGGTCGTGCTCCAGTTCGAGCACCAAGAGTCTCTTTGATGCCGCCGACACGGAGCACCTTGCCTGTCAATGTGACCTGTGCATGCCACGGTTGTGGTAGCCGAAGTAAGACAGAGCAATGCTAGACTGGGATGTGCGACTCGTATGGCGAAAATCAGGAAAGACATGGCTGCCTCGCCGGTCATGGCCATGTCGCGCTTCACCGGCCGATCCAGAGCCATGCTAAGCCTAAGACTCAGTGGCTGGTTTTCATCCTATTAACATTGTGTCGTAGTTGTATCATCTTATAGCACATCTGAAGAATACAAGTTAGACAATATATGATCCCGGTTCTCGGTT